GTCATACTAAGTATAATATTGGTGTATCCACATCAATTTTTTATTTCCCTTGCTTCAAAACTTTCCGTGCCGATTTTAGAGCACTAAACGCAGGGTCCAATGTGCATCTGAAAAGAGGTGAATCACCTACAAGATTGCTCGTAGCTAAGGTACTATGACCATGCATGACTTACATACATGCACGCTGGCCCATGCTGACCAGAATGAAAATTAAATATAACTCTCCTCAAAGCATAAAATAATAAAATAACTTTAAAGAACTAACAGATGAAAAAGGTTAGCTAGGAACAGTTGCGCCAGTTGATAAGAACTAAGATAAGTAGACTAAGATAAAGTTAATGTATAGTTGATAAGAAACCACAATATAAGTTATAATGTTAACTACTGTAATCCTAACAAAGCGACATTATTAGTTTTTCGCTCGTTTTTGATACATGAGTTACCAAGCTCCCCTCTAACACCATAGAATTTTTATACCATTTGCAAAAACCTAATTTTTATTATCCGGACAAATATTGCTACTTTTTAATATGTAAAGGACAGTGGGAAAGTTGAGCAAACAGTCAAAAATTGCTCCTTTCCCTTTTTCTGACTCAGATATGTCGAGAGAGAGTTTGTACGACCGAGCCAATATAAGTAACGGAATTTTTAAATCCCCAGGGCACCACGTGCCGACGTACTCTCCAACAAGTAAGCAAAAGGAAAAATGAAAATTGATCATGCTACTAACATTTTAAAATACATCCTTTGCTAACAATAACCGACAAGATTAGTTAAGTTAACAACCAATGGATCGCGACAAACAACCGAGAAGTATTTGGACCACAACTACAGCTGCTTTAGAGATAAACGGTTGGACCGCTGTTAACAATTACTTTTTCTGACTATCAGCTTGTTCGATTAATGTATCTGGCAACTCCAGCAACTATTACAGTTATTAATGTGTAAAAATTACAGTGCATCGCACTATTGCTCGTCAACCGCGTCAATATAATCAAAACGGCCATCCTCGCCCCCTTTCGAGTTCTCAGACAAGAAGTATAACTACCTTTTGGCCCCACGTCAACCTACGCGCCCAGTGTGAGTCCCGAGTTATTAGGCAAAAGCTTGGACTCGAATAATACGTTGCGCCGACGGATCATGCTGTTTACTAACGAATTCAGTTAAATTAATAGTTAAATTTTTCATGTAATAAAATTTTTTCTTAGTCAAATATTTTTCTCTCAAAACAAAAATTTGTTTATTTTTGCAGAACAGTTTTAGTGTATTTAGGAATATTCATTAATTTACCACTAATTTGTTAGTTATTCAAGACAGGCTCATTGGTGCTTATAACTAGTAAGACTTTACCACCAGGAAAGTGGCCACTGGCCAGAGTCGTCGACGTCCACCCAGGCAAGGATAGCATGGTTAGACTGGTGACTCTCAAGACCTCAGTGGGCACGCTCAGATTAAGATGATTTACTAATTTAAAGAGCTTAATCACATAGATAGTGGAAAAAAGTGGAGAGAGGTGAAAGGAGCGCAAGTGTATGCAACAATGACAGCAATTTTTGTACATGGATGTACTTATATACGATCTTTTACGTACACTCAACTCTTTATTTCTATAGTTTTTTACAAAAACAAGTTGTGGATCTATAAGAAAATTTAAAAGGCTTATATAAAAATAAAATTTCATGCAAAAACTATAGGGATATCTCTACAGATCATATAAATACAGTTCTATAAGTTTTTTTTAAAGATAACTTATTAATTTGTCACTTTTTAAAATTAAACATAGAAAAATGGTTCAATTAAACAGTGTGCAATGTTTTTTTGTGTTTATAATGCTATTCTAAATATACGTTTGATGTTTAAACTATATTTGTTATGAAGCCAATGTGTAATTAATGTTCCTAACACATACTCACTGGCATTTAGTACCATCTTATTAAAGAAAGTGGAAGTACAGAATAAGTTCTTTTAGTCTTTTAGATACAATCATATTTTGGGTATTGAATATGAACTAGAAATGGGTGTGTTAGCGTATATTATAGATGCAATTGTGACGTTAAAGATGGAATTATCGTAGGCTGTAGAAAGTTACTTGAAAATTTTTAAATCATTTGATGAAAGCTGTAGTCTTTTACTGTCTTGCTTTATAATTGTAAATTTTCATTTTGTCTTTATTTACTGTTTACCATTATTGCTTCACTTAATCCCAAAATGGTTATAAAACCCATAAGCAATTAACGTATGTATACTCGTTTGAACAATAATTGCATTGACTTTGTATACAATATCGTTTTATAGAGGGTATATTTATATTTCAAATTACATTGTCTGCCATTTAATTCAATAGAAGTATAACTTTGTACTTAGGTATTCAAGCACGTACTATCTACAGGTTTAATTTACCACAATTTATAAAAGTGGTGATAATCATCGTTATCAATAAAGAAATAATATTCTGTGAGCTCAATTGTATTAGTTGCATAATATTTTATGTCGTACATATGTAGAATTTCTGATCCATCTAAATTGATATCAAACGCGTACTGACCACCGAGTGCGTATTAAAAGTTTAGGTTGTGGATCTTATTTTTAAGCTAAAAAACACACAGTACTTTTGTGATATGTAAGAATATTAGAATTTACTTTAACTTATCGATAGATAAGTATTAATGCGAGTAATTAAATTTATCGACATTTTCCATCCAATACGATATTGCCAAGGAAACTCGACTTTTTAAGTGAAAACTACCGTTTGTTGAAAATTGTCATACCCAGCAATTAAAAAAAAGTGCCACCTCAACCAGGACTTGAGCCTAGAACTCTTTTTTTACCGGGAAAATGCGTTACCAATTGTACCGTCGAGGTCTCGGCAACTCCTCTTCTCAATTGCTACATTTTATACTTTTTCGGCGATTTTTCAGTCCAACGCTTCGCCCATATGATATGTAAGAATATAAAAATTGACTTTTATTTATCGATGGGTAAGTATTAATGCGAGTAATTAAATTTATTGACATTTTCCTGACATAGCAATTAAAAAGAAGCGTCGCCGAGACCTCGATGGCAAAATTGGTAACGCACTTTCCCGGTAAGAATAGAGTTCCAGGTTCAAGTCTTGGTCAAGGTGGCACTTATTTATAATTGCTACGTATGACAATTTTCTACAAACGGTAGATTTAACTGGAAAAGTTGAGTTGCAGTGGCAATATCGTACTCGATGAGAAATGTCGATAAATTTAATTACTTTTATCCACACTACTTTTGTTTTAATTTCCGTAAGCGAAGAGCTAATTTTTCTACTCACCTGTGTGTCTTCGACAGTATGAAAAATTTTCGAACCTCATTCTTAATTAATATATAGATTGTAATATAATGCGTACTATTTATTTCATGCTTGACTTGTTTAATGCGATATAATGCTGATTAAATCATCCATATTTTTTATACTACTTAATTATTTGTAAGGTATATACTTATTTATTAGTTTCTCTGTCTGTATTTATGTCTGGATCTATATATAAAATCTTGCACTGTTTATTTTTATTAAAAGAGACAACCAAAAAGAATAACTCCTAACTCTCGACTTTCATGAAAACTAAGTGGAAATATGGTCAGCTAAATGACGGAAAATGTGAGATAATTTTGTGATATCCATTTCTTTGAAAATTAATGTAGTATAACACTATACAAAAAATCTGCAACAATTGTAAAAAGTAGAAGCTTTTTTTTCTACTACTCTCCCTTTTTTTTATCATGACCACCACTATGACTCTGTGAGACCATGACCATTTTGGGCAAACTAAGTATTATACAGAGAAGCGAATTGTGTGGCTAATCAGATTGTTTCAGCAATTCACGCCACTTACGTGACCGTAAGTGTTTTCGAAAAGAGGGACCAGAACGGCATGGTAGAGGGTCAAACAACGAATCAGTATGTTTTAGCAAATTGTGTTGCTTACGAATTGATGAGTGCCTTCAGACAGTCAACACAAAGACGATTCAAGCAAGTAGTTAAATTGATTAGCTGTTGCAGTGTTAGACTAGGACCCATAGCAATAGCCATAATTTTGATATCTGTGTCTGGTTCACAGATAGTGCCACGCATTTTACGTTGCACATTTGACGGTGGTGCCATATGTTTACCATGGGCATTTAAATTCTCACTCGGAAAATTACGATAAAATAGTGATGTGTATATGTATGGATGTGAATCTGTGTTTTCCTCGTCACCACTTTTATTGCCCATGCAGTCGCGAAAATCCCATGATAAGCCACACTTATCCCTTATGTCTGCTTAAAAATCATGTTACAGTAGCGTCACTTACATCTACTTCTTTTTTTTTTTTTTTTTAGTAAGTTGCTTACTACAATCAATTTCTCTCTTTCTCTCTATCACTTAGTATGTTAGATATACTTACTTTTTGTACTCTGCCTACTCGTTATACTATCTTACATACACTTATATGTGACACTTTGGCCCTGGGTGGTAGAGGTTTAATTTTGACGGGCCAAAGTGTTGCAACAACTGCTTCTATGGATAAAAAGTACTTTAAATTGAAAAAAAGTAAGGACGCAGTAACAAAGACATATGTTGTACACATACTTAGCTAAAGATCAAAGGTATTGAGCCAGTATTTGTATGAAATAAATGAAACGCTGACATCGGAATAAAAGAATAAAAGAAAAAAAGGCCAAATAAGCCACTAGGTGTATAAGATTGAAGAAAAAGGCTATCGCAACTAGTCACTTCAACACTGTGTTCTATAGGCTACGGGGTCCAAGTTATCAGTTTAGTCCACTACAACTTTTTTTCTCCTACGGGGCTTAACATGGGCTCTAATAAAAGTCATTAATGGTCACCATCGATTAAGCACCTGATCTATAGCTTACAAGTACTTATTACAAAAAGCTTGTAACAGTGGTTCGAAGAAAAATAAACAAAATGACGTGGGCTATACTAACTAAAACAAATCTTAAAATAACTCAAAAATATTTTTATTTACCTCTTTTGTACTTGCGTTGGAAGTAGTCAATGAAATTCCGCTTGCATTACTATCATAACTGGAACTTTCACTAAACTCTAGTGAGTGTTTTCTGAGTATTTGAGAGCTCTCTGAAGTTTCCGAAAAAGGTGTTTCTAAACGTGGAATGGAAGTTTTACTGCAGACTTGAGATTGTATATGTTCACATATTCTTCTAAATCGTCGAATACTCCCTAAAAAAGTACTTTCTTTGAATTTAAAAAATCAAGTATTGAAACATTTGTGATAAATGAATATTTACATTTTAAGTGAGCTTAGAATTACGTTTTTCATTTTCAGCTCTTTATAACATATATTTGTAGGAAAATTTATTATAATTATTAGTTAGATACCACATACGAACGCTATTTAAACCTTATTTAAACTTAAAGTACATGGGAATTGGAATATCTGTTTGTTTCTGACCAAGAAAACCCTTTTTTAGAGATACTACTTTGATAATCCCTTAACACTCTAAATTCTAATCTACCACAAGAAAACTAAAATAATTATTTGTATTACAAGTACACAAACATTAGATTTAAATGCTGTCAAAGAGATGATACCAATTTTTTCTCTCACCTTAAGGGCAAAGAGCAACTGCCACTCTTTATTCTCAGGCCATAGTTTTTGCTCAAGAGCAGAAAAATACGTATTGACTGTATGGACCCGAAGTACTTTTCTTTCCCAAAATTGACAATGGATCGACCTTGCACAAATAGTGCTCACAATAGCAAATATTTACGTTTAACCTTTGGTGAGAAAAAAGATGTACTTGACTTGGGCGTAACCGTGCAACAAACGCACCTTTGGAGCACTTAAGTTTGTACAGGTGTTATACACATAATAAGCTAAAGACCAAAGATATTGACCCAGTATTTGTATGAAGAAAAAAAAACGCTGACAAAAAATTTCATGTTTGATTTTCGAACACTTACATTCAGTCAGGATAAGACTTTGTACACTACTTTTGTTCTTAAGTTAATACCATGCAGCATATTCGATATAATTGTTAGTACAATCTGGCTGCTACAGCAAAGTATGTACGACAAGTTAAAAACGTAAAGAAGTTATACGTCATCCTAAGTTATGTTTATTATGAGTGGAACACAATTAGCTGGAAGAAACAGTTGTACATATAATGTGGCAGTTGACAAAAATAGCAGAGAACCATTTTATTTAAAAATTGTTAACTTGGATGTTAAATAAAAAGTGGTGTTGTATAGAATATAGAGAATTATGATACCTTAGAAGAAATAAAATATAATAGCTGATACAAAAAAGTGGTCTACTTTTTCTTTAGAACTCATTTGACATGGGGACTTATAAAAAGACTTGACCAGTAAATTACAGTTAAATGTACAACTATATCAAAAATCTAATAATGACAGTAACATAAAATTGTGTTCTGTGTGTGGTATTGTGAACTGTCTCAGATCAATAATTATCTAAATTATGAGCAAATAACGATATTGAAAAAAAAAGTGAGCAATTTACAGACACCTCTGACGTCACTGTCTGGTGCGGGCAGTTAGAGCCGAGGGTAAATGTTCGGTTCGCAGGAAGGTGACGGTACTGTTAAAGAAGAGATGAACGGCGAGGAAGGAGAAGAAGAGGAATTTCTTGCTGGAGATTTTTGAGGCTTTTAAATTGTGGCGTGATTTTTTAAACTGGCTGGACGCTTGCAGAGGGTAAGAAGAATGGATAGGTAGGATATAGGAGTTTTGGAGTAATCCACCTCCCTTGCATCTTTGATATCACTAGAAGGTGATGTCAAAGACATGTGGCATTTTTTTGTTTATCGATGCAGGTGGAAAAGTATTATTCAAATATCAGGATAGTAGGACTGTATGAGAGGTACGTTTGTAAGAGCTGTTAATGCACACCAAATATGATATGAACCTAACTTGAGGTTAACATCATATGACAACACATCTAGCTGTAGGGTGAGAAAATCAGGGTTGCAGAAGAGTAAGGGAGCTCTTTTTTTCTTTATGACTTTGTGAAAGAGCCTATTTTCTTTAGTGATCGTACGCTGTGAAACCAGAGGGGCCTTTCGTTTTTTAATCTGACAATTATAGAAAACAGTAAAAAAATTAATGAAAATGAAAAAGAGCAAAAACGGAAAGCTTTAAAATTATTATAGAATAGTAATAAACTTAAAAAAGATACAGGCACTTTGAGACATCCATAAATTAGAAAGTTTCTACAATATATTATACGACAATATGTAGCCATTTGCGTGTTTGATTACAAACACTTCGGGACTGACACAGATTTAATTTATGGTAAGTAGAATAGTTTCTACAATATATAATACGACGATATGTAGCCGTTTGCTTGTTTCATTACAAACACTTCGGGACTGACACGGATTTAATTTATGGTTAGTAGAAATATATGCCATAAAACAACAGTTTATTTATCAACCTCATGTATCACAATAATATTAATCAATATAATTTAATTTGAAACTTTTTAGCAAATAAAACAAAGGTGTTATCTTGTTTATCATGTAATGAGACATACCAAAAAATCGTCAAACATTCGTATCTTTTCGTTTGCATGGCACATCATGCAAACCCTAATAAGAATAGTAATATAACTTTTGAAACAAAAATAATGAAATGTGATTACTCTGCGTACTTTTTATGATAGGAAATGTTATAAAAACCACAAGTTTCCAAGGTCATTTGCATAAAGAAAAAGATACTGAGTAGATATTAGAGTTATAAGCAACACCCTAAGAATTGGCTGCATTTGTCCACAATTTTGTAAGTTAGCAAAAAGAAAACAAGAGTGTGAAAAAAAAGCTGTGGCCAGTGTAAAAGTGTACACATTTGTTATTAGTTGTGTATGGTTCCAGCTGTTGAAAAAAATCTAAGTGAAAGAATCGTCTTACTTTTTATGATTTTGAGACACGTCAGGATAAAACTTTAGATGATACGAAAAAAAACACGCATATAAATAGCGAGCTTATGCTTAGTTCTAATTCAGTGTGATGACTGTATCAGTTCAGACCTAATTTAAGGAATTTTGTAGCGTTAAAAAAATATCTTTTTCGGGTGAGAAATGTTAAAGAATGTTTGTTGACTTCGATGTACGAGAAAAAAGTGTTACATTTTTTTTTACGTGTATATTTAATAGAAAATCATTAGAAACTGAATTTATTTTGAAACATCGTATTTCTTAAAACAAATCTTATGGCGTTATTCTAAACAGCCAAAATATTATACAATCAACCCATAGAAAAACTGAATTTATCGATAGTCTTCATCATTTACAAGCGAAATTGGGAAAGTTAAGCTTCTAACTTGACAGATAATTCCTGGAAAGGACATTTTTCTTATTCCCTTCCTACTAAAAAAAATTTTCATTACAAATGACAGTATCCGTTTTTTAAATTTTTTTCACGGAACACCATGAGTTCTAAACAATGTTCAGAGTTTATACTTTAGTATGACCAACTTACCTCGAGAAAATAAACTTTGTGTACAGAAGAACTATGGAGATTATTATGTACGAGATGTTAAAATATTACATTAGGCATAAGTACAGCTATAAAAAAATCTTTCCACGAGTTGAAAACGTTGACTCTTCTAGAGATAGCATTACGATTGCAAGTGCCTGGTCATTTGTATTACAAAAAATTTTCCAGAAAACGATACAATAGGCATTATTCCTGTAAATGGATGTACATGCTTAGGTCAGTTTTGAGAGAAATCTATGAAATAGTTACGACGTATAGAAAAAATGGAAAATATCGAAATAACCGATGAAGGTCATTTATTATAACACAGATAAATAGAAGGACTAATTGTTAATATAATTTTAAATCCTATAGTCTTAGGAGAAACTGTAAGAGTACTGTTTCTTAATTTCATATTTATTATTTTCACGGGTGTTTACGGTAGTGAAAGTGAACAAAGGAATAAAAACCTAATAAATAAAATAAACCTAATAAGTGAACAAAGGAATTAAAAAATTTCAAAAGCTATACAGAACTTTACGAAAACACGCTTAAAATTACCTCGAAAACGAAAGAATACAATTGTAATGTAACTGAAACGTGGGAATGTGATTTTGGTTAATTTTTAGAAAAAGTGAAGAATTTCTTATTTATGTGAGATGTCACCTAATAGCACAAAATAATATTTTAAATACAAGACATGCTTTTTCAAGTGAACAGATAGAGAACACGGTTACACGGTACAAGAAAACAAAAAAATATTGATTATTTGAAACTTTACTTTTTATACCCATATGGAAGTTTACTTTTTATACCCATATGGAAGACAGATGAATTCTCTGTGCAACACCCTAAAATTTACAATGTGTATAATTAATTGCTTTATACTGACAAGAAATGGTTATAAGCATTATAATGATGATGTCAAAGGCTCGGTCATATACGTAATCTTACCACTTATTTCTCTGTTTCATCCAGTACTTCTGACAAAAATGCACGGACGACTACTTCTTGGCCTATATAGGATGAGTATGGAGGAAGTACGCCAGGGTGAATGTCCTCAGGGTGTTAATGAGCGAGTATTAAAGGAACTTGTGTTTTAGAAAAAGTTAGAGAAGCCCTAAAATAATTGTACAATTTTATATAAAAAAATTTAATTTGCATTACAAAACTCCTCTTGGTGTGACTCCGTTTTGTAAGGTAATGGTATTTTTACAGAATATACAGATCATTCTTTTAAAATTAAGTAAGGCGCAAGCAGTTGTTCAATCAATGTAAGCATAGAAACAAAAAAAAAAATTATATTTTTCATTATAAAAATACAGAAAAAATAAAATAAGATACAAATAAAATTTTAAAAAATATGGGTTTGGAATGTGTAGCTAAGTTATGTTTAAATAGTTTTTGGGAGAAATTTGGTCAACGTGGAAATCTTCTAAGAACGGCCGTAGTTAATAATTCAAAATTCTAATTATAGGCCTTATTTGATCAAAAAATTTGCGTTGATCATTGTCTTTCTTTAAATAATTATGCCATGTACGTTATTTAGGGGTGCAAGGACAAGTGGCCCTTTCATCCTCTATACAAATGTAGCTATAGCTGCTTAAACAAAAGCATAAGCGCAATTAAAATTGCACTTATATCTAAAATATTTGGGTGAGAAAGTGTTAAACTATGACACTAATGCGGTTATATTAATTAGTAATACTAAATAACTAAAGATAC